CGTATCTTAAAGCACAAAATAACTGAAATGCAAAAAATGGATTGTACATACAAATTTTGCAGGCTGGTTTCACATCACATTCCCTTCATATTTACACCTGGCTTTTACCAATTCTTAAAGTAATGCATCCAAATGAACACCCTTGATAAGAAATTTAAAATAAATAGAAGGTTTTAAAATCTCCTGATTAATCATTCTTTATAAGATACGAGTTTGAGAAAGTAAGGTATCATTACATGGGTACCTATATTTTTCAATAACACCAAGTGACGAGAAGAACAAGTCGCGCACGTGATGGTAAGTAGTTGCAGTGCCACTCAGAGCTTTAAAACACAGAGATTTGAGGGGCACACCCCTCACCCTGAGACTTAAGTTGATAAGTCTCATGTGCCTGTAATTTCACCAGCACCCTTACCCTTCCAAATCGGAACGCAGTTGCGTTCATGTTACTGCTCGGCGGCAGAAATAAGTAAGGTGGCAGTACTTCTCTGGACAAACTCTTTCTCTACCGCTAAAAACATATAACACTAGAGTCAACATAAACAAATGAAACCAGGTTATGAAATATCTTAAAACAAGGTAAAGACAAGAATTAAAACAAACTATAATATAATTAACTATTAATCAAAAAGTCTGATTTGCTAATTCATTGCAGATATATAATATACACTTAACGTACTTTAAAATCGGGTTATAATTTGACATCCTTAATTAATTATTCTAATGAAAACATTCATTTCATTCATTTTATTTAAGAGCCATGCTCTTGTCGGTGTAGCCTCCTCCACTCCTCACGGTCCATAGCCAACTCCTTGACCTCCCTGTAACTGCCCACATTAACCTTTCTTTTTATTTGGTCACAGAATGCCATTCTCGGTCTTCCTCTCTGTCTCCTTCCTTCCATCTTTCCCTCAACAACAACCGTCAATAGTTCGTCGTTGCGCAACAAATGTCCAAACATTTTTCCCCTCCTATTCTCTATCGTCTCCGTCAGGCCTCTCCGTTCCCCAATCCTCTCCAGAACGTCCTCATTAGTCACTCTCTCGGTCCAGCTTACCAAAACCTCGCGTCCAAAACATTAGTAATTCATAAATTCATTTATAATTTGTATAATTCTTACGTTCCTCATACTCGATTACCTATTTAGTTCGTATGCCTTAAGAATCTATACTACCTCAAATGGCTTTGGTTAATTCCGCAAAACAGTGAAAGTGTTAAATCTATCACTTTGGATAAAATATATACGGCGTGAAAACACGATTCCTAAATCTAATAATAATTATTATATATATATCAACTGAACTAAATAGAACACGTATACTATACCATACACATTTTTCAAATGACTTAAATTTCGCTTGTAAAATAATAAATTCTGAAATACCTGAAGCCAGTGTCCGTACCGCTAGACCAAAGCAAAATGAACCGTATTAGTACGGGAAACAAGCACGATATCTTTCTACGTTAGTTTTGATTACAGTGACCCTCCCTACCTACCCTTACGAGAAGGACACTATAACCTGTGCGCGCACAGGTAAGTTCAGGTTCTGACTCCAGATCAGCCAGTGTACAGGATGCTCACAGACTTCTGTCACTTGACTTCATCCGGTTCTTCGAGAGGCTAGTGCCTCGGGTGAGCCGCCCCGGGTGCACATACAGTACCCTCCCTATTTTCCAGATATGTCTATCTGTATGATTTAAAATAAAATTTCTTGTTACTGACGCTGTTCTGTATTATCTTGGCCAAATATAAATATTTGGGTTTAAATTGCAATGTATTCAATTTTCAGAACGCCAACGGTCTTGAACCAAAAGACGTCATCATCATCAAAATAATCGTTCATCCCCAATATAAATCGCCAAAAAAATACTATGACATAGCTCTGATGGAACTAGAACACGGTGTCTCATTCACTAATAACGTCCAACCAGCTTGTTTGTGGAGGTCTTTCGATACAAGGCCACTTGGAACTAAAGCTACATTAACTGGATGGGGAGTTATTGAAACAGGTTGTCAAATTCATCTTACTTCTTTTTTTTATTTTAATACAAAATGCATTTTAAAAATATAGGCACAGGTTACTAGTTACTACTTAACAGATACATCACTCTTAAAAATATGTACGCTATAATAGCCTACTAAATCTGACTAATGACACCGGGCGCTCACTACGAGGAAAACGGAAAGAGGGAGAAGAAGATGCTTGCACTGCGGTACACTCAGTATTTTATGAAAAGCTTTTTCTCATGAACACTATTTACGTCCATTTTTCTACAAACTATTAATAGGAAGCCAATTGTTAAATATCTTTTATCTTTTGACAGCTCGTCGCACAACATCTCCAATTCTTCAAGTAGCAGAAGTTGACATTTTGGACTCCAAAACCTGCGACAATCTGCTGATTCCAAAGAAGAGCAGGCACTGGCAACGAATGTACGAACATCAGCTGTGTGCTGGTATTCTAGCTGGAGGTGTTGACGCTTGCCAGGTTATAATGAAGTTTGCTCTTCAGAAAATGTTACGGAGAAATTTATTCGTTCAATGCATTGACTTACAATTATATGGACGTCGGGTCCGCGCTGAAAAGTGTCCGAACTTATAGGGCGTTAAAATCGTATACAGAGCGTCATTCATGCTTTAGTCTTCGTTTGTTTCTTCTGACAGCGAAGCAAGCAAAATTAGACAGTACTGCGATGACATTACAATTTAAATTCAACGTTTTAGCTTTTTCATATTCCTTTACATGTCACTACGTTTAAATAGGTTGACTTTAGACATTTTTTTCGTGGTTTTTGTATTAGACCCGTCGTCCATTTATTTGTAAGTCAGTGGTTCAATGTCTTTAAAATTTTAGTCCTACATGGAACGTTTTTACAAAGTAACGCAAGAAAATTTGGTCAGCTATAACAGTTGCAGTACCACTCAGATATTTAAATCGCAAAAATCTGCCACAGCGCCCGTCACTCTATATCTTGTTATTCGCCCTGGTATAGTAATTTTTAACGAGAAAAGGACTCCTCCTTTTTCTCCTGTTCTCAATTCTATTTTATTTTGTGTATAATTACGTAAGTACTCTGACGTTTGTGACTCGATTTCGATGACTTTTTTTGTTCAAAAGGAGTAGCGATCCCATACAAATTTGAGGAAAATGCCACCTATGAGAGAGGTACACTTTCCATAAAACCGATTTCAGTAAAACTAGACACATATAATAATTTCAACGAAAATAAAACGTTACGATAATCAAGAGCCACTGGGCCCGTCACCATGATTGCACCAGCACCCTTACCCTTCAAAACCAGAACACAGTAATGCTCACAGTACCTACTGTTTAGGTGCAAAAATAATTAAAATGGCAGTACTTACCCTAGACGAACTCTTTCACAATGAATTCTACCCCTTTTTTTATAATATCAAGTGACGGGACGAACAAGTCGTGCGCCTGATGGTAAGGTACACGCCTGCCCATAACAATTACAGTGTCCTCGGAGCTTCGCATCGGAAGTTTGTTGAAGATATCTCCTTGCTTTAATGATTTTAAAAATAATTTGTTAATTAAGGTGAACAATGATTTCTTTTTCTTAATTTCAATCGTTGCTTTCAGGGTGATTCTGGAGGTCCTTTACAAGTGCGGATAAATCTGCCTCCGTCTACGCAAGGAGCAATGCACCACCTCATAGGAGTGACTTCATTTGGTTTCGGTTGCGCATTGCCTAATGCCCCGGGAGTCTATACCAGAGTTTCCAGCTTTATTGACTGGATTGAAAGTATTGTTTGGAAGTAAAAGTGACAAAAGCATTATTATTGTGTACACTTAAGTACAGTTGGTGGAAATTGTAATCTAACTATATAACTGGCGCTTGGACCGTGGTCGCGAAATTCGCAACGGCTTTTTCACTCTTATTGCACGGTCATAAAACTTTTTCTGACCGATTTAAGCCGACTCCGCGTTAAAAAGTATGGTGACTCCCTATAACGTCATTCACCATCGAGTATATAACCAGAAATAGAGATGAAATGTCATTTAATTTGTTTGAAAACTATTCTGCCAAATCATTACGGTGACAACTGCGCTCCGATTAGCCAGCCCGAATTCAAAAAATTTATGAGTGTCGTCAATTGTTTCACTTCTAATCGACCAGCTTAACTTGAGCTTTGCTATAATGGACGAAAATTGAAAAATGACATATTGAATAGGCATTTAATTATACCGATGAAATGTGATTCCGTTTGTTTTGTAATTAGATGTTTTGCTGTTTTTTTCACACCACCGAATGGAACAGCCCCCCATAGTTGGAGATATTACCTTTATTATACAGTACATACAGAATATTTTTGGAATATACGGAACGTACACACAGGTCAGTTATAGGCGCTATACTATTTCAGCTTTCTAATTTGTGATTTCAGTGCAAACGAGAGTTGATATTTAAAAGTTATATAAGGCCTATTTGCCTGATAAGTCGCCGGGGATTCTATTTCTGGTTATATACTTGATGTCATTTACTAATAATGCACTCGGGAATTCATAAAAAAAAAATCTACGGTTCACATTGTAAAGACCAAATGTACTCAGACTGAACATCTATAATATTGTGAAAACGAAAAATATTGCTAATTATTATCATATATTTAATTGTGTAATAAATATATTGCTCGTTATTTAGCTTGTTTTTAACAATTTTTTTAGGACACCAAACTATTTTTCCGGATTTAAATCGCGTATATTTGTTTTTTAAAACAAACCAACGTTTGGGGCACTCCACAGGTCCCATTGTCACGGTCAATCAGTTACGTCTAATATTAATGCAAACCACCCTACTTTTTCACTATAGTTATTTTAAATACCTTATTTTTAATTTTACAAAGAAACATTCAAATTTATGCGACAATAAGTTTTACATATTATTTAATTTTAACAACATGAATTTTTATTAAGTTAAGTTTATTATTAATTAATAATGGAAATTAGAATAAATTAATACTGCAGACTTATACAAATATGACTTATAGAAATATTGTGAATACTACAGTTGAGTCCCAACCTCGTTTTTAATTGTTTGTCCAGCCTCCATCCTATTTCAGTTTAAATAAAATTAAAATGATTCTAATATTAACAGTATTTTTAAATATTATTTTTTTATAGGAAATGACACGGTTGACTGAGGTGGTACAGTCCTCAACCAGTTATGTCTAATATTGATGCAAACCACCCTATTTTTTTTCCGCTATAGTTATAATAGTTATTAATTAAATACCTTATTTTTAATTTTACAAAGAAAACGTTCCAATTTACGCTACATTAAGTTTTACAAATTATTTTATTGAATGAATTTTTATTAAGTTCAATTTATTATTAATTAATTATAGAAATAAGAATAAACTAAAACATATTAATTCGTACTGCAGTCTTATGACTGTTTGGGATTTTTCTTTCGAGGAAATACTAGATCCCAAGCTGGTGGTACGGAGAAACCATCTTCCCTGTTGAAATTAGGATGTTTTTAATTTCAATAGCCTTTTGCAGCATCCTGGGTAGATAACGGACTTAGACGCAAAGACCAGCGGTTTGTCAAACTTCATTGAATATGTAGCATGACATTGACATGCTCGCAGACTGCTACTAGTGGAGTAATGTCACAAAAAAATAATTGATAATCATAGTTGTGAAACATCTGGCATTCAAAAATTTAAAATGTTTTTTTATTTTATCTCATCTCTGTTCGTATAATAAAAGTCTTATTTTTTCATAAACAAATGCCTCTTTTCATCACGGTCGTATTATAAGTTTGTATATACGACATTTAATCTACCACTGGTTTAAATATTTTTGTAAGTACCAAATATTACATCTATTACTTGATATTAAAGTGGAGAATGCTATTAGAGCACACTGATTAAACAGAGTAACAAGATTACATCCGGGAGGTTCGCTTTTAATTGAGTAAATAATATTATTATTTATTTAAATTGATATTTTAACAAACTGAAAATACAAGTAAGAAGTTATAAAGCTCTTAGTTTTATTTACTTATCACACAGACAATAGAAAAACACTGCATAATAATAATGTTTCTGTTTTAATTTAAAATGTTAAATATTAAATGACATAGTTTGGCAGCGTGGAGTTAATACTTATTGGCAGCATGAAATGAAGAAAAAAAATCATAGAAAAAAAACATTACGGCTATTCAATGAACGAACATAAAATAAAGGGCACCGACTATACATTAAACAAATTTTAATACAGTGCCATTTACGGACGGCAGTACCTCAAGCTACACATTGACCTAATATATAATACCTATACTCTAGCCAAATTCAATGTAGAATTTTAATAACAAAACGTTGCTAGATAACCAATGTTGGCGTAGGAAAAGCACATTTTTTTTCAATGCTCATTATTAAGGTTTCGTAATTGGAATTTAAAAGGTAAGTAGTTAATTGGGTTATGTAGAAGTAATACTTACCTAGCCAATAATTATAAAGTTTCCAAAATACCTATTGATACATATGATTTAGGAATAAAAATAAGTGTTTGCGTCTTATTAATATTTACTGCTAGATGGTAGGTAATGGTAGATGAAAAGATACAAAATTATAAGATTTTATTTGATATTAATTTACTACATATTATATCAACCAGTGTCTATTTCCGATTCTGAACTTGAATTACCACCAGAACTCAAATGTTTGCAATCTCTCCCTTCAAATCAAAAAGTCGCAAGGGATGACACAGTTTTACAAATAATTAATTACTGGTCATTTTTAAGTCATTTTTAGGTGAGTTGAAACTTCAGTTGAATAATATTCATTTTAAACATAGCTTCAAGATTTAGTATTATCCATAATCTAGTTGAATTTCGTAGGAAAATGATGAAATTGTGGTAACTGTGAAAGAGTCTTGACATGAAAACCCTAACAATCATATATTTTTGTTTGTTGACATTTATTCTACATCTAATTTGGCTAGAGTATAGTTATCCACTATTTGTAGAGCATTTAGTACTAATAGTGGATACACAAGTGAGGGCACCGACATTACATTAAACAAATACAGTGCCAACACTGCCAATTTACGAACGTAAGCACAACAAGCTACACATTGACGGATCTTGTACCGTGGCACTGGAGAGGATATTCAAACAAATTGCATAACTCGATGTGCTGTTGATGTATTGCAGATCTTATTACTAAGTAGCACATATGCACACTACTACATGTTTTCAAAGGAATTGCTATAACATGTGCGCTATATAATGTATTACCTGACGATATAAAAATGTTGCCTACGTCTAGATTTAAGAAAATACCATTTGAATTGCTTGTGCCAAATTGTTTTTATAATGTAAATGAGTTTTTGACATTTAAGTTTTGAAGCCTGCGAGCCATATTTACTTTGCGTGAGTTCCTCTTTTTTAACCGACTGGGAAAAAAGGAGGAAGTTCTCATTGTTTTTTTCTTTCTTTTGTAAGTATGTTACACGAAAATAACGATAATTTGTGAACTGATTTTGATGATTTTTTTTTTTTTTGGAAAGAGAGAACCAGATATGGTCCCATTTCAATTTGAAGAAAATGTTCCACCTCTGAGTGTGGCAAACTAGGGGATGAATGACTTTTGAGGTCGGTTTTTTAGAATGAAATCATAATTTTTCTTTCATTATATTATTCAATATTATATATTTAATGTAACACGACTTTAAGAAAAATGCGAATAGTGTATATAATTTTTGGCATTAATATTTGTATGCCAGTTACTGGCGCAACACGGTGAACTATAAGGTAATTTTAAATATGTAAACTGTATTTACCGTGTACGCTTACAAATAAACATATCCCTATCTCTAGCAATTTCTCCCAGGCAAACTTAGCATTGAAATTTAAAAGTTGTAAATGTTAATGGTAGACTAGAGCCATTTTAAAATATTGGTATACCTATACGTACTATTGACTTAAGAATTAATTAATCCTTCGTAGAATTTTTAATTTAATTATCGTAAGGCTTACTTCATGTTCCCTGTACGTCTAGTGCACCCTTGGCAACAATCGCTGGGTACCCTACGCCGATTGGCAAATCCTTTCACCACAATGGCAAACATATCACACACTTCAATACTGCGGCTGCTAGTGACACAGGCGGCGTAGCTGCTAAGTTCTGAAACACAATTACATAACACGAGCACGTAGGATTACATGATAGAAAAATGATCCTATGAACTTAGAAAGTTAAATAAAAATTAGTGTCTTATGTTTGGGTGCGCGAAAGACGTAAGTACTACACGTCCCTTCTAAGTCTGGTGCACCCTGGGCAACAATAAGCAGTACCTCACGCCGATTAACAAATTCGTTCACTACAATGGCAAACATATCGCACACTTTAATATGGCAGCTGCTGGCAGTGTAACCACTAAGTTCTGAAACGCAATTATATAACACTAGCACATAGGATTACATGAAAGAAATATGATTATATGTAAAATTTCGTTTCTTGGGGCTGGAGAGCGCGAAAAACGTAGGTACTGTCCCTTCTAGGTCTGGCTCAACCTGGGCAACCTCATACCGATTGGCAAATTCTTTCACCACAATGGCAAACATATCCCACACTTCAACATAGGACTAGACTTCTAGTGGTCAGCATGGCTAAATTCTGAGCCGCATTATACAGGGTATGCCAGCGGTACGATAAGATGGTATCTTAAGCTTGTTTTGCCAATCTTTTTTCTTAGAACAGCTGCGTCTCGGCATCTAGTTAGATTAATGTGAACTAGCGGTACTGTATGCGTCATTGGCTTAATACTCTTTCTGCTAATAACCAATATTTAATTAATACAATTTATTTCTGAAAAAACCCTATGAGGGTAATTAACAAAGAATTAATTCACTACATACTTAACGTAATGAACTTACCGTTTAAAAAACTAATCCTGTGTTCTAATTTATGTAGTGTCAATGAGTGTCATAGACGTATTTTGTTCTTAACACATATTTAAATATGACTTAGGTTCGTGGTTATGTTGTTTAGTGTTAGATAGTCTACAAAGATGAAGTATTTGAATTTTTTCGTATATATTTATTTGGGTAGGTAACGCCATCAATTTGTGTTATTTGTTTTGCGTGTCTGAGATTGTATACTTTTGTCTAATATTACGGCTGTTAAAACCCGTATCTAATATATTCAAATCCTTACAAATACACTTACACCTTCTTCATTTTCAGTTATAACAATTCATGTTATTAGAGGAGCAATCTTAAACACGTCACGAAATTCTTCACGTGTGAAAAGGGTAAGCATGAATCCAATAATCTATAGAAACTCGACTTCGTATGTGTGTCATACGAGTATTACACATTATTCTGCTTTGACAGTATTGGATTCTGTTTAATGAGCAGTAAGTAAAAGAGTAGTTATACCCCTGCAACTTTGCTTTTGTGGCTGTCACAGTGATATTTACATAATCTCGCAAATCTACACATTTCTAGGTTCTTTGTTATCAATTTGTAGAATTTTAATTAAAGTATACTTGTAGCGAATATTTTGTATGTATTTTATAATATAGTCTTTTTAAGCTTAGTTTTATATTTAAATGTGATTGTTTCTGGTCGCTTTTCTTGACTATTGTTTTCTGTTTTGCTTTGATAACCGTAAGTTTTATGCTAAATTAATAAACCATAAGTACATTTACTTTGGCCTCGCTCACTCGACCGCTACAATACTATTGATTTGAAATACAATGTTCCGTTTTCGTTTTTAAATAAAGAGAATCCCGAAAACTTGTACGATTCCTTAGGCACCGCGCATACGTGTGTGTTGAGTTGGATATAAGCAACCCGCATCTATTAGGGAACATTCTATTTTCATACCAGTAATATGAAATCGACACAGTCGATTGCGGTTGCGGCGCCGGCGCCTTAAAACTCTGAGTCTTGCCAGTAACTTGGCATCATAAAAAATATACGCAAAAAGACTTTCACATTCATTCCAATGCTATATTAGAATGAATTTCAGGAAGATTTTCATGAACCATGGATATGGAGTGTTGCAGAGGACTTAACTACAACAGAGCGAGTAAGTTAAATAACATAACTTATACAAATTTCATGTAATCATAAATAACCTTTTTATGTAAGTGAAATGGAGTATAAACTTACCGCGGCTATGTTTTTGCAACTACTCGTATTATAATTGATATTTTGAACTGGAATATCACAAAATTGATGTTTATTATCGAGTTCTTAGGTTTTCGCAATTGTTACACATAGGAAATGAAACTATTTTTCCGGATTTAAATCGCGCACAGTTGTCAACCGTGACTATGGGACTTGTAAAGGGCCCGAAACTTCGGTTTGTTTGAAAAAACAAATAAACGCGATTTAAATCCGGGAAAATAGTTTCATTTCTTAACGTTTATTACTATTAAAAACCAAAAAATTCCTTAGTATTCCAAAATAGATATGTTTGGAGCGGACCTTACGTAAATTAATCTTGTATTTTTTAGATTATGAGCGCCCATAATAATATAAATTTTAATGCTTTTCAGGTGTTCATGTTCTCTCCACAACCTCCAAAAAGACCACTACCAAACACAGAGTCCAGTACTTTGAGTGAAATCCAGCAAATTTTAGCAGACTACTATGCAGACGAGATGGATTCTTCTTGCAATCAGAAATTGCCTGAAATGCCCGACTTCAGCAAGCCTGGCAGACGGATTAGTGAACAAAGTAAGTAATGTACCTGAATAATAATTGACAGCAATCCTTATATTACGCAGCTCAGTTGATAAGAGTCACGTTGAGACAACAGACTTTGGTTCAAATCCAGTCAGATCGAAGGAATTTTGTTTGTGTTTGATCGATCAATAATAATAATAATAACGCACACACTCAACATAGCCCCGCACTAGGGAAACTCTGTGTCGCGGGTGCCATGGACACACACATACACAACCACAAATTACACCCAAACTTACGAAATCAATAAATGTACGTCAAACAAATATTTGTCCCGGCCCGGGAATCGAACCTGGGACCTCTGCGTGGCAGTCCGGCGTGGTAACCGTTCGGCCACCGAGGCAGTTGATCAATATTTCAAAGTAGCAGTGTATTTTCACAAAAAAATAGATAAATTCCATGGTGGTAAAACCATCGTGATGTTCAATAAAAAATAAATATCCACCCTTGCAATTTATATTACCTTTGTAAAGAATACAAATTCCAAAGACTGCTTTAACTTTAAAATAATCTATTTTATTTTACTTTATTGGATATGATACAAGAAATATACGGACTTAAGAGTCTCAGCTTGAATTGAAAATTTTCCCGTACTAATACGGTCCATTTTGCTAGGGTCAAGCGGCAGGGACGCTGGCTTCATTTCAGAATTCGTTTTTTTACAAATGAAACTAAAGACATTTGAAAAATGTATATCGTATAGTATACGTGTTCTGTTTAGTTCAGTTGATGTAAAAAAAA